CCGTCTGCGACGATGAAAAAAGGACGCTGGGGCTCAGATCAAGCCAAGACCTCGTCTTCGACCCTGACGAGCCCTCCTCCCACTCCGCCTCCGACCCAAGAGAGACCGACACCGCCGCTGCCAGAAGTCCTTCCTACTGCCAATTACTGCCAAGCCGTCAACACACTCGACGTACGAGAACGCCTCAGCCAATATAGTCACGTGATGCATAATCAGACAGTGCGCCGACCCCAACGGTGTTGCCGCCAAGAGGCCTATAATCCGCTGGAGTACTCCATGCTCCGCCCTAGTAACGAGTGAGTGCCACTGTGGCATTTTATACAAGGGCACTTTGTGATGCAAACAGGCTCACCTGGCTCGGATCGATGGCAAAAGGGCTAGTATAGATCACTATACCGCGGAATTTATATAGAAAAGAGAACAGCCAGCATGAAGTGGAAAAATTCAGAGAAATTTTGCATCTTTGAGGTATCCAGAGGTATGCCGGCAATGCCAAGTGCCCAAACCTAGTCAAGTAAACACCGATGTCCGCTAATGTGGTCATCACGTGTCCTTGTGACCTGAATCTACCAGCGCAGCCGTCTGACTGGGCTGCTTTGAACTCCCATATGCAAGTTCGACATCTTCAAGCGTTCTTATACGTGAAATTGAAGTCGCCATCACCCTTTGGCTTGGTCCATGACTGGCATCTCCATTTTTCTCTCATCCTCTCGCCGTGCGGCTGTCTGCTCTGTTGTGCCGAGCACGAATCTCCACGAGATTCACCAGGTCTGCTTTTCTGATACAAACATTTGACAGCATGAAGGGATGTCGGCAATGCTTCACGGAAGGGAAGGAATGCTCCTACGATGTCTGGGATCGATGTGTCGCCTGCAGCGAGGGTGGTTATATGTGTTGGCCGCCAATTAACCTAGATGAACTCATGGTCAAGACGAGGGAGTTGAGAACTCTGCAATCTGACGCCGACCATCTCCGAACGATCCTCACCGGTAAAGCGATAAAATTGAAGAGCACGCAAGAAGTGTTTCTGCAACGCAGAGATTCCTTGGGCCCAGCGAGCAATGAAGCAGACAGACTTTTGGTCTCACAGCTACAACAGCAGGGGAGATCTCAGAGGAAAGATATCGAGGACGACAGGAGAAAATACGAAACCATGCGTAAATCGATACAGGAAAAACTTGAAGAGAAAGAGGACATAGCACACAAATTGGCAGATCTGGTATTGGATAGATTTGCTCAGGATTGTGAACGTTGCGGAGAGTTGCAACAAGTCTGCAACTTTCCAGAAAATTCGCATCTATGCACCACATGCACGACTGATGTCGTCAGATGCACAGGCGATGCAGACTGGGACGACCTCGACTTGATGTGGAATGCCGCTGATCCGCTCGACCAGCAGGTGGATGACTTTCTGCTGAAAAACCTGCCTGATCCGGCAATATTTCAGAAGTTGAAGGATAACGAAGCTAGTACAGGAGCAACGCTAAAGCAATATTTTGATAGAAGTGGTCTCTCGGCGCAAGAGCGAGAGGAATCGTCACGTCTCGGCAATCAACGTCAGCAGATTCGTGATTCACTGGAACAGATCAGGGCTGCCAGTTTTTGCGACAACGTTACCTACCAAGAGCTGTTATCGCTGAGAGTAGTGCTCACTATTGCTGGAAACGCTGCAATGAGGTGGTGGAGCGACTATGATGTTGAGCTGGAAGAACGGACCGGTTATCCGACACAAAGACGTCTTCCAAGTGTAGGAGATATGACGGATAAACAATACAGCGATGCTGTGGCATGGGTGCGCGCGCATCCCCTCTATAAATACGATGGTTCTTTGTTATCAAGTGGATAAGTGAAGATGGCGTTGCGATAAAGATCGACAAAGTCTCGAGCCTTGTCGAGGCCACGAAGTTTTGACTGATAATCTCTATCCTGCAGCAGAACAAGCCAATAAACCTGTATTTAGGGACCTTGGAACGCAAAGCACAATGCTACTTATCAACTTACATCAAGGCGACACGATCTGGAGTTAGGGTCAATTTAGCGCGCGTTACACGACGTACTTCCTTTCATCTCACAGAACGTGATTCGATAAGCAACCATCATTTTGTACTAATAAAATGTACCTTTCTGAATGTTATGTGTGAATGGAGCCAAGCTCTTTGAATAGTTATTTGTTGTGACCGTTGTCATCTCTTCTTCGACACTAGGAGGCAGGTATTTCTTTCCAACGAAATCTTTAATAACGTTGAACCTGCTTAATCGATCAACACAGCTCTGCTGCAATTCGCACAAATCGAAGAGGTGCTCACACCCACCACTGACACCCTCCATTCTCAGTCATGGTGTATCTATGTCTGCCCTTTGTGCGAAGAAGATCTTTGACTGCTTTTACAGTCATCTGGCCGTTGGAATGACTGACAGTGAAATCAAAATGCTTTGGCAACATTATGAGATAGGAGATATTGCAAGAAGTCAATGTACAATGCCCCGTTCTTCGGGCCCTCGGGTCTGAGATCGAGACGAACAGAACCCGAGAACTTCTGGGAAGTTGCATCTTGCGCATTCGGGGCAACCAAGAGAGAAATGGTCCAGTGGTTGTAGCTTATCATTGCCCCCGGTTTCACTGGACCTAGGTTATGAACGACGACTCTGACAACTCCAACGATCCACGAGGAGTCGTCGGCATGTTGGCGGGTTTTAATCTGTGCAAGTTCGACGTATAAGTTACGAAGTTCAGTGTCCTTCCCAACAAAAACTGCCTCGGCAGTATAAGGGTCACGTGAACTATCATCGGTATAGTTGCCCTCTACGATGATCCAGTTTATCCTCAAAATCCTCGACACTCATCATAATTCCTTGGCTAAACATATTGCGTAACTCGTCTCTTCAACATGGACTTAGACCATTTGACCGCAACGAACGAAGATATCATAAATTGGTGCCGCTCGTATGAGCTCAGTTCATCGGCCCACTCGGTGGATGACCGTCTAGTAGCCGAGTTCAGCTCGAACCTCGTCCTTAGACTCAACAGCCATGCGTTGGTCAAGTTTGGCCCTTCCGTCACGGCATCCGAGGCAGCAAACCAGAGACTTGCTCATGAAAGTTTGAACGGTCGCTTTCTCCGAGTACCTCAAGTCTATCGATTTTTCCAAGATACCAGTCTTCCTGAGAATCATTGGAGGGGTAGATGTGGTTACCTCGTGATGGAATTCATCCAGGGAATCAAGCTATCGGAACTCCCACTTGAGGACCTACCTCTCCATTGTCACAAAATTGGTCGAGCAATTGCCGAAATGTCCCTGCTCAAAAGTGAGAGACCTGGTCCAGCCGATGGTGGTGAACCGCATGGCTATATCTGGGCTCCTGACTACCGCGCCTATGAGATATTCAAGACTGTCGATGACGTAGCAGCATGGTTCAATCGTGCATTGGTAAATGAGGACACTAAGATCCACTTTCCATCTGAGCAGTTTCCCTTCTGTCATCTTGACTTATCCAGGTCGAATATCCTGTATACGCAGGATGAATCATATGCCCTTCTGGACTGGGCAGATGCTGGGTTCTACGCAATGCCAATTCAAATCTGGTGTCTGAAAAAGAGAACGGATGACAGTTGCTTTGTGGAAAGCTTGCTGGAAAACCTTCCAGAGCTCAGCGTGGAAGAGAAGGCTACCCTGCATCTATTGGACCGGGCCTACTACTGGAACAGCCTAAAGGGACTGTAAGTTTTGGCCTTTCGTCCCTTCCCTACAATGAACAAGCAACTGACAAACTTTTGCCGTAGATCGACTAAAGCTCACAGAACTCAATACACATATATGCCGTCCCCCCCCCGCCTCCGTGTCTGACGTTCTAATCGGGGTCAATTCATCTCCCTAGCTAAATTTACATATGTTATCCTCCTTGTTGGACTATATCAAGTACCTAGTCGAGCCAGGAGGACATAAGACAACGGCGAGTGAAGTTTACTGCGTTGTTTTGCTGTTTTCGGCACGAGGCTTGCAAATTGGGGAAAATCTTGCGTTGAAAAGCACACATCAAAGTATGCCAGCGGTTTGCCGACATACACAAACCACACTGGGGCCAAATGAAAGGCGCCTTAAGCCATGGTCCCAAAATCGCTCGCGACACGTTAAATCCTAGTTATTCACGGGCGGCGTTAGACTTTGTATGATCAGGAAAGGTTCTAGACACTGATGCCCCGCAGTGGCTGGTGGGGTGGCTAGTGGGACTTTGTCTTCCCCATCAATATCACGAGCATTCGATCCAGACCCAATTTGTGAGGGATAGCTTTTCGTGACGCTGCTCAACCTCAGCTAGCGCCTTCGGTATGGTCTAAATGGTACGCTGTGGACCCACCACAATCTAGCCACGAAGAACGCGACATTGAAACGGCGTTGACGGGCGATCCTCCGTGATGCGAGGATTAAAGTTGGATTACGACAGGGCGAGAGGGTTGTGCGGCTGCTTATGCAAGGCAAAGTTCGCGCCAGGTGCGTGATAAGAGAGAGTCCGATCGCGGGTTTGCGGCCGGCGCATTTTGCACAGCCGTAGTTCGATTGGCGCTGAATGAAGAGCAGCTTCGGGCTAGATACTCAGGCAACCTCGCCCCTCGCTCCCTCGGTGGCGATTGTTTCTGCAGGGCGATATTTGCTGGTTGTATGATCACCGATTACCTGTGGCCGCTCGACTTCCACAGCATCAGCATGCCTCAAAGGGACCGCAGTGAATCTCAGGGGAGGAGAATGAGACGGCCCTCTGCGTCGTACTGGCATGTTCGTCCCGCCGTTGGTGTCAGCAGGTGACAAAGGCGGCCCCTCAGTTCGAACAGGAGCTTTCCTCGACTCGACCTCCTGCTCCCGGCGACTAAGGATGGATGTTCTCCGATTCTTCATCTTGTGGACCATCTGTCGAGCTCTACTGTAGCAGACACTGGAAACATTCATCAGCACAAAGAAGTTCCCCGCCCGTATCCGACTTTGACATACCTTGGTCGGCAAGTTGGATAATCTGTCCAAGGTTCCTGTCAAGTAGATCCATAACTCCAAGTTCCTTTTCTTCGTCTTCCAGGAATGGTTGTGGAGGCATGAGCTTCTGCGGCACGCCACTGGCAATAAGAACATAGTCTTCCTCCGAGATCTCCACCAGACACTGCTTGGTATGGAACTGGCACACTCGGATGCCGTTGCGGGTTCTCTCGAGGTTAAGCCGTTTCGGGCTGCTCTGGGCGAGTTCAACCACGTCTAGCCAGCTGATGGTCGAATCTTGTGCAGATGACTTCAACACTTTGGGAGGGCCCTCAAACAGTCTTTCAAAGCGCTTGAGCAAGATAGGACCAAGAGGACAGGCCCCGAGGTTCTCAGCCATACTTCCATGGCGCTGAAGCACAACATCATATTCGCCGAGAAGCCGTGCGATTTCAGGAAGCTTGTCGTTCACCGTCACCAGCGGGATGGTGTCCTCGTGCTGACGAGCAAGATAATTGTTCGGCAATTGATTGATCGCCGTCCGCGGGACTTCGGCTGCAGGCAGGGGATGGCGCTCGGAAGGTGGCCGTGGTCGCTTGAGAGGAGATGGTTCGGCCGACATGACTGGGGCCATGCTTTGGACATGGACGTTGAGGCTGTAGGATTGGGGTCAGGTACGTCTGGCAGGATCAAACCCCAAAGAGAACTTACAGCCGGAAGTGTTCGATGGTTTGGCCATTAGGACTCCATGGCAACCTCAAAGTGGACAATGGGTCTTGCGCAAGGCTTTCGGATATTTGTAGGCTCTCAACAGCACGAGATGATGATGGGAAGGATGTCGGTGCAATTGTCGCAGCTCTGAAGAAAGGCGGTTCCACGGAATCCAAGCAGCCGTCGGCATGAGATAATGTCGGTCCCAGTGTCGCAGCTCTTGAGCGGCTTTCGGGCTCTGCCATTCGTCTATATTACGATCCCATGAACGCTAGAACGTGGACCAGCAGAAAGTTCAGACAAGGACTCACTTGCGTTTATGCTCTCTTTCGAAAGGTTCCGATCTTATACAGCGCCGGTTCACCTTTCGACACCTTGAACACGGTCTGTCGGGTTGTAAATACGCATCACATTTCGCCTGAGAACGCGGTGAATCAGCACAGGGTATTAGATATCTCAGGCAGTTGAAGATCCCACTTTCTGCTGGCGGCACTCTGTACATGCTGTCTTCAATGCCTGTGGAACAGACCCGGGAGTGGGAATTTCGCTCATTTCGCGTTCTTGGACCAATTGTAAGGCCGGTACAAGGCTCAACAGGGCGACTCGGGGATGTCACTTGGCTCCAAAAGGAGACACGATGAGCGGGTCGAAGAAGGCGGGTTATGCGAGCCCATCAGGTGCTCGTACCGTGGTAATCTTTGGTGCGCCAACTCACTTAGCGCTTACTAGATAATTCTCTGTCACGTGAAACTCCTGCGACTCCTGGCAAAGTCGGGGCCTTCTTCGGACATAGCCAAGCTCATGGCTGTGGAAATCCATGGTTTCCTGGATGACGCGCTGCGGAATTACGCTGCGTGGCAACAGTCAAGAGTCCGGGATCCTGTGCGTAAAGCCGAGATCGGCAAAGCTCTCGATGTGTTGTTGAAACACCACTTCGACTTGGGGCTCCTCTTTGAAGATCAAACCACTGATTTCTTGGTCCAAGCCGGCGTGTTGTTAGGCACTGCTCGCCGGTTTTGTTACCGTGACGATATTCTCAATTGTATGAACAAGAACAAGCGTCCTAGACTGGACCGTGAAGTCGAGAATCACGAGGTCAGGATTTGACGGAGTAGATTAGATTGGTGGCATGCATTTTAATGTGCCTAGATAAGAATTCTGGCGAATGACCTGCATTTCTAGAATAATACTATCGGTGGACATCTTTCTGGCTCGGTGATGGTCCATCCTGCGTGCCTAAAGTGACCTTTACAGTAGCACTCTCCTCCCTTGCTCTCACCCTATCTCCACACCATTCCAGGAACGCCCCAAACCCCTGCTCGGGGTTCTCCTCATAGGCCATCCAGTTCTTTTTAATGAATACCTTAAGTTCAGCAAAGAACTCTTCAATGGATTCAACCGAGGTGAGTAGGGAGGTAAATATATCAGCTTCCCCCCCGCCGCATCGCACACATTCGCCTGATCCGCTTGCTACGATGAAAAGAGGCATTATCCATCACCAGGATCGAGTTCGGCTCAGGAAATCTTCCACAGTGGTGGAGGAGCTGTTCAATGAAGTCCTCAAACACAGTGGCATCCGTGGAGCCTTGAAAGACACGTGGAAAAAGGATACCATCCTGGGAGTACGCAGGGAGAATCTGATACCGCTGTCCTCGACGGAATTTAGCGGTTTGAACGGGGGTCACCCCTCGTGGAAACCACCCCGTGCGCCTAAACCCATCTCTTCGATCACAACCCGATTCGTCCACGTACACAAACTGATAGGAGTGGAAGAGGGAGATCTTGTGCAGGTAATAGTCAATCAGGTCGGGATTTTGTTCAGCAGCCTTACGGCGAAACTTCTTCTTTGATCGCTCAGCAGAATGTAATGTCCTGCTGACACTGGATATAGTGACCGGCACCCCAAACTCGTCCCACAGGTATTCCACCATCCCTTCCAGGTACATTTCAGGGTTTTCATCGAGATGGGCAAGGAGGGCATTGCGCATCGTGGGGGTTATGGATGAGGGCCGTCCGCCGCGACGACCAGGTCTCGTGGTGCTATCGAAGTCACGAAGGTTTCGCTTGATACGTTTCACAGCGTCCTCGCTACACTTGTGATGAGCCGCGATCTGTCGAGTTGTGAAGCCGCCATTCTCGATCATGCACCGAATGCTTGCGTGTATCGAGGCTGGAAGCTTTCGTGCCATTGGTGGTTAGAGTCCAGCGCTGAAGGGAGCATCTGTTGCTCTTCAGCATGGAGAGGTTGCGAGTGCGCTGCGGATCCTCTCGAACATTCCCCTTCGGCCCAACCCGCACCCACTTACCAACGAACATCACTCTCATATTGATTTTGGGGGACTGTATGACAACGCTACGCTGCACGGGATAATTGCTGCACAGAACTGATTTACTCACCGTTCTTAGTCAGGCAGAAATACTAACCAAACCATGGGGCGGTATGTGGTCTGATTGAAATGATGGCCTTTCCACTGCAAAACTGCGAGCTCATAAATCAGACTGACGGTGTACTCATATCCTTCTCTTCCGTCCTCCATAACGTACCGCAGCCGAACCTCCTCCCGTATACGAAACGGGGACGTTCAAGCACAGTATACAAACTCTTTGAGAACCTCTTGTACCAACACATGTACATCCAACGCCCTGCGATTTAGGGCACATTCTGGATGTGGCCTGTTCCGATTCTCGCGTCGCTACGTGCTCGAAACCGTACACTCTATTCGAGTTGTCTGAATGATGTCTTGAGAAGATAGGGACTTCGGCTCAAAGAGGGAGGGGAGTTTGAAGCTGTACGCAGCAGGGTTTGATGCCAGTAAGCTGTATGAGGCATTGAGGGAGAGCGCTCGCAACCCGCGCAGGTAGCGGCGCAATCAAAAAGATTGGCCTTCATAACGAGAACACAGGACTGTAAACTGGGAGCGCCCACGTCTCTGCTGAGTTTGAGCACATTCGATTCTTTTTAATATTTTTAATGAGATTCGCGCCCCCATTAAGCTGCCCACCTGCCAACTACGTGGCTGAAGCTCGAGCTCCCCTGACACGCTAGGATCAACCGGCTAGTCACCACTGAGAGAGATAGTTTAAGTTACTGTACTGGATCTGCGGCTTCGGGACTGGATTAGCCCCTTCCGCTGTCCGCTGGATCTACGATTGAATATTTCTCGTCCACCGGATGGACTCCGTTTCCGGAGCGTGGCCCGAACATCCCTAGCGGGTGGGAGGCCTGTTGGAAAGAAAAGGTAGTTGAGGAACACCAATAGGAGGCATCGGGGGGTGTTGGACGCCCTTGCGTCGACAGGCTGACATGAATTCTCCATCTCTCTACTGTATTGTGGAGCATGGACTTATTTGGACTCTGTCGAGCAGTGGGAAAACGGGTCCTTGCGTCCATGAGCCCGATTATGGCGACGAGGAACAGGTGTTTATGAAGCCCCTAAGCTCCGCCCTCCACTGTCCATCGCCGAGTTTGCAGACAAGTCGGCGGTAGGTCCATGTCAGCCCAGGTCTAATTGGGGATTTTAAGATGATTGGCCCTTGCTTTCAGCGAAGTTCCCCGAGGTCAGGTGGCATCGTGATAGGCCGCGAGATGGATCATCGCGTATGGGTTAGTTGACTGTCAGGAGTGGGCCAAAGTTTCCACGCTTTACCCGACAACGGCCTTCTCGCGCAAAACGTTTTGCAATTCTAACATAGCCTTCAAAACCTATTTATAGAACTATAGATCAATATATATAGATCTCAGTTTTCTTAGTTAATTATTTACTCTTTCTTCGCCCGCGTCCTTTCCTACACTCATTTTTCATTCCCATTCCATCGAGGATGCTCTCGTACGGAGTTTTCATTTGGGCATTGACCGCGCTCGTCGCATCGGCCACTGTCCCTACCCGGTCACAATCCTCACAGTGGCAAGAATGGTCCTCATCAACTAAAACCGCAGTCACGACTCCGGTTACCACAACTCCAATCACTACCTCAGCCACCACCACTCCAATCACTACCCCGGTCACCACCACCTCGATTACCACCACGACGGATACCACCACCGCCGCCACTAC